TTTAGCGACACATTGATTAGACAAATCATATCAATTAATTAAAAAATATGGAAATTTTCAAGCTTTTTCTAGATACTACTTCTTCAAGATGCTCGTTCTCAAAATTTTATTCTTCGTGAACATTCATGGTTAAAATTACTCAAATAATCAGATTTTTATTGCAATTTTGGATTGCACAAATGTACGACGTCGTTGAAAAAGAAATCTATGTATATTTTTCTAGATTTTCTCGTTGATGCATGATATACAATAGAACCGAACGAGTCATCGGTTTTTTACAATCGTGGGGAATTGTCGAAACGAACATGTATTTTTTTACTCAAACACTCAAAATAACAGTTAAGTAGGTGTAATATCTCGAAATGCAAAAGCGAGGGAACTGCAACGAAAATTGAAATACTCTCGTGTTATTTTTCTAGTAATTGTCATTAAACGATGCGTAAAATAAAGATTACGTAATTCCAACATACACCAGACAGACGACGTTATTAACACGTTACATATTTTGTAACGATATATTTACATATAGTAAATGTACATATAATACAATCTATATGTGTGTGTGTGTGTGTGTGTGTGTGTGTTTAAAAAATCGAATTATTTCCGCTCGTTTCACTCCGTGATACGTGATGTAACAAACGCTAATGATTAACACGCTAGTGTTAACATCGTGGCGTCTGTCATTCGAAGTGACATTTTCTCTGTTAATTCCAAGTGCTGAAAAAAAAGAGAGAGAGAAAAAAAGGAAAAATGATATCTTCAGACTCTGACAAACTTGCAACTTAAGGGGACGACCACGCGTGAGAGACGACGACGCGAGTTTTGGCGTCGGTGACCCGGCGAGAAAGCAGCGATCTCGGCGAGTTAATATCGGCGCGTGACACGTACGTAGGCGAAGAACGAGAGGATTCAAAAGAGATGTTAATCAAGCCGGGGCAAGAAGAACGACCGGAGCGATCAATCGAATGCGACCAGTTTTCGTTGGCCTCGGCCCGGGTAATCTGTACTCGGTGACATTTCCAAGGAAGCGCGACGAGACCGAGGGATTTCCTCTCGAAAACCGGTGACTCGGCCGGAAGCACGCGCGCGCGCGGAAGTAAATATCATATCGCGGCGACTCCGCGATGCGTCATTGGATGTGGAAACTGGATCAGAAGCGTACATAGAAGCGTATAATTTCTCACGGGAGAAATAAAACAACTCGAAAAGGGTAGGACGAACGTCGGGGGGGGGGAGGAGGGGGGCAGAGGCAATGGCAGTCGAGGAGAGGAATGCGGGAAAACTTTCCCGGAGATGGAAGGATCGTCGCCCTTCTCGCCGCGA